ATATAAGGAATACAGGCAAAGAAGTAAAATTGTTCGCAGGCACTTTATAAGCATTTCAGTGCAATAACCGAATAGTTATGACACAATGGATGCATTTGGATGATTTTTTACGTGGTAAAATTATCGGCCGTCTGGAATGTGGGCGTACCTAACTGGAAGTATCAGACGAACTTGGAATTGCCCAGAGTGTCATCTCCAGACTTTGGCAACGATTTGTATACGTTACCACCAAGAAAACATCATTGAACGACACCGTTACAGTGGGCAGGAGTGCTCGTTTGGGGTGGAATTATTCTGGGTTCCAGAATTGACCTGCATGTTCAAATTGGAACCATGGCAAGCCAAATATATCGGGAAATCATTCTGGAACAACATGTACGTTTGTTTCGGGACGCTATGGGCGCACAATTTGTGTTTATGGATGACAACGCCCGTCCTCACCGTGCAAACATCGTAAGCGAATGCCTTCAATCGGAGGATATCACCCGTATGGACTGGCCAGCATTCTCACCGGACTTGAATCCAGTAGAGCACGTGTGGGACATGCTTGGGCGACGAGTTGCAGCCCGTCAACCTCCTCCTACATGTCCACCGGAACTTCGGAGAGCATTGCTTTTTGAGTGGTGTAATATCCCCAAAGATCAGATCGATAATTTGATACTCAGCATGCCTAGGTGTTTTACGGACTGTATTGCATTGTCTGGGAGACACACAATGTATTAACAATCATACCAACCATGTAACATTGGTTTTTTGTAAATAGGTTTTTTTTTTTTTTGTAATTTGCTCCAGGTAGAAAAACAAATTGCTAATTTTTTTAATAATATCAAACATATAACATCGTTTTTTGCTCTTTACCTTTCGTTTAATAAATGAGCTTTACAAATAAGTCTAATTTGTTTTGCTACCTTTGCCTGATTTTGCATTATCCTTAATTTATGGACATGAGTGTATTAATGTCACTATTTTGCTTATATATTGCATATTGTTTCCTTTCAACATAGAGACAATTAAGGCTTTTGTATTTAAGTGGAAAAGTGAGTAATTCACTAAATTTTTTTTTTTTTTTTTTATTTGAACAAGCTGATGTGTACATGTACACATTCACAGGAGAAAATAGAAATTTATTGAAACGTAATATTACTATAGGTATCAAGAACCCTTTACCCAGACTCATCTAAAATTAGAGACATCCTTAGCCATATTAAGAAATTGACAGGGAACGCAAGATTACCCAAAATACACAATTCCATGCGCTGTTATCTTTTTAATCAGCAAATTAATACTCTCTTTAGCTCACAAGTGGCAAAATGATCCAGCCGTTAAACACCCATAATTCAACTGCAGTTCAAATCGCAGTAGAAAGCCATTCGCTGCGATTTTCTTCAAGCGTAATGTGGCTATAAGATAGTTAACTATGCTTTTTGGTACTATTCCGTTTTGAGGAACGTAAAAAAATTGCAGCGAAAATATATGCGCAAAAGCACCAATTCTAGCAAGTGTGCCCATTTAACAGCGTGCCAAATCTAGCATACGCGCTGATTTCAGATTGCGTAAGTTTATGTAGTTCTATATTTCTTAAGACGCCATTGAAATACTAGTTTCATTTTTAAATCCTTTTTTAATATCCTATGGATTTAACAATTTGAAAATTGCCCATGATGAAAAGTCGGCAATAGAATTTTGGGTAAAGTGCAGAATCACCCACTGTTTGACACGTTTTCAAGAATTGCACATACTCGGTATCCATGTGCACATCGACCTATTTTCACTTAAAAAAATCCCAAAATTGCACAAAAATGGCACTGTGCACACCCTTGGCTTTATCTATGTATATATCGACCTATTTTCACTTAAAAAGTAAAAGAAAATTGACAAAAATCCAATTGTTTTTACCCTTGTAAAAAGCGGCAAATAAATAGGTGAGCGATTCTGCACTTTACCGAGAATATTTTCCAAGAAAAGGCATCATTCATTATAGAAAATTACGTTTGAACAACCAACGAGATGAAATTATGCTTTAGCGATAAGTCGGTAGCGAAATAGCGATGCAGGCATTAATTCAAATGAAATTAACCTTTCATCTAAATTAAAACATCAATCTTAGATAGTTATTTACTATTATACTTCCTTTCTTGCCGCAATTATTTTTGGCAGCATTAGCATCAACAATAGTTTGGAGATTTTTTACGGCCCTCGAAACCGAAGAGTACCTGCTTTTTTAACAAGTTTTTATTACAAAATTTTCATTAGAAAATCTTAAACAACAGAACACTGAAAAAAATTATGTAACATGATAGAGATAACAGAAAAGCACTATCACAGTTAAAGATACGGTATCAGTCTTGATTCAAAACAATTAACACATAAAGTTTAATTCTAACTTTTGCATACAATAAGTACAAAATGAAATCCTTAATCACTCTCACTACAGTATCCTGAAAATGATCTGTTGACCTACATCTAGTCTTGTTATTTAGTAGAGTAACAACACTTTTGGGAAGCACTTCTACAGAGAACATGATAAATGTAAACATCGCCAACTTTGGCGATAATACAGTCAAAAGTCAATAATCCGGACTCGTCGGGACTTTGCGATTCTCGATTAAAGATCATCACTTTAAATCTGGTAAGATGGCATGCAGAAATTACAAAATTAAAAATATGAAACCGTAATTTATGAAATAAAGAACAATTATGATCGAAAGGGTATCAAAATTTACAAAAAGAAAAAGCTTAATATTTATTTGTTTACTTTATTAAACATTTCTTTCAATGTAAGTTGTTTAAGTTGCTTGGTTTCATGTGATAATACTTTCTCTTTAATTCTATTAAAACAGACATAATTTCTTGTTTAGTTACAAAGTTCCGCTGTTCAAGTCCTATAATTGCTGTGTCGAGAATACCGACTAATTTGTCAATCAAAATTTTTTTCGTTTTCAATAACCTCTGCCACTTTCTTCACTATCGGAAGCGAAATATGAAAATTATAAAAATAATAAGCCGGATCCAATTCGAAGATTAAGGAACAACGCAATCTGCAACATTAACTGAATCAGATAATTTTAGCTTAGCTTATACCGTCCGTTATACATTAAACACGCATGTGTAAATGTTTTATGCGCACGCGCATATTCGCAGCCATAAAGGTCTTACCCGCACACATAATTATTAATGTTCTTAATTATTAACAGCTGTAAACACGCAGAACCACTAGGTTTCCAACCTCTAAAATAATTCATTTTCATAGGCCGCAAAAATGTGCATGTACATTTTAAATAATTAAGGAATGCTTTATCTTTATTATTGGTTATTGTCATCTAAAATTATGAGAATAAATACATTTTTATGGCATAAAATTTTAACAAGATACTATAGTGTTAATGCTTTTCTAACAATAACCTTTCAGAGGATGGCAGGTGTGACATAAATAGCTGATTAAATTGAAATAAAAAATATTGATTATCTAAGATGACAGAATAGTTTGATGCATCCCCATGGTCATCAAAATTAGCAAACCATTGCTGGTGTAAGGAATAGAGTTTAAATGACTCTTGAAAAATAATAAAATGTATAAAGTTCTAGTTTTATTAACAATGCTACTGAAGAAAATTTGATTACTGTTGAAGGTTATTTGTATTGTGAAATATATTATGAAAAAGGACAGGTATCTGTTTAAACGTAAAATGCTTTAAGCTGTATGCAAGTAACTTGGAAAAAAAAATAACTGAAAACTATGCAAAATAGATGTACTAAAGGTCATGCATTCATTAATTTATTACATGGGCATGGCTTTTACCGAAATACATCAATCAACAAGCAAAGTACTTAAAAATGAAAAAAGACACTTGTAATAGAAATATTAGTATTCTATATGAATTAGAGAAAATACATATCATTTTAATGTAAACGTAAGTATACACATACTAATTTATATTTTTTAAATGATTTTTTACTTCCCGTTATGTTTAATATATTGTTTTCTGTGCTAACTTGAATTTAATACAAATTAATTTTCTTAGATCACGTTTAAAAAACCAAAACCGGTTAGTTTTACATCTACGTACTTATTATCCGTGAATTTTTACTACCACTGTCTGCTAACTTGAATTTACATACACTAAAAATCACGTTTACAAAATATCATGTTTACGGCTCGGCTCATCGAGCTTGACGAGTAAAAATGCAAGTGTGCTAACGGGTTTCCTGCGGATGAAAACCCCAACACTTGAATAAATGCTTTTGGGGCATATACAATGAACAATATGAAAGGTAGTGGTAGAATTCACACTGAAAAATATAAACACACAATATACACTGAATTTACTACCAACAACCCCAATAATATTTTGAAATATGAATGACTACACAGTGATAACATTCAGTAATCTAAGATACTACTGTATATCACTATGTAAGAATAATTTAATTTGAACAAATATATCAAGCATTTTAGTTAGTTTTCAGTTTAACAAATTAAGAGTGTACAGTGAGTAAAACCTAATTTTTGCACAAAGTGACTAAATTATTTTCAGCATTACAAGTAAACGGAATAAACACTGAAAGAAGTTGATGCAAAAGAATTAAATTTGTTATTATTTTCTGAATAATACATATTTTAAACCAAGTTCCTATAGTATCATTTAAAAGTAAAAATAAAACGTACCTTTAACATATTACAGGCTGTAACTAAGTTAAACACTAAATTAATGTTAGAATTCCTTTTAAAATTAAAGACAAAACAGATGAAAGAATTATAATATATGATTTAGGGTAACCATAGCATTTACAGAAATTTTTATTAGCAATAACCAGTGCAAATTTAGTATGTTAAGTGCAGTTACACGTAAAGCTATCATAATTTTTAACATAATGATGCTTTGTAAACTCAATATTTATCGCTGAAAATGCAGTTCAGTATAGCTATAGAATTATGCCATCAAAATTTAAATTATATTTTCTTAAAGTTATCTGAATTTATGAAAACCTCGGTGTCATACTTTGCAAAAGACGACAGCAATAAAAACAGCAAAACAGGTAACCTCAGTTATTTGCACATGATGCGATAAAAATGCAAAGCGAAAATTCTGCTCTTTTACATAATATATTAACGTAACTTTTCATCTTAAATCAAATGTATTTACACTAAACACAAGATGAAAAAAGTACCGGACCACATTAAAAAAAAAAGGACTATGATACATACTTGTTTCACTTCACTTCTTCGTCATTATTATTTTCATTCGTCATTATTCCAGCCCGAAAAATAATTTTCACGTGAAATTCAAATATATGAAAATGAGAAAGCCCCAAATTTTCTACGTAATTTCTGCTTTCATGGCGTAACCTTTAAAAATACATATCATGAGATCTAAAGCAGAAACTTTAGTTTTGAGAAAGCTAAAAGAAAATCTAAAAGAATCTGAGAAATAATATAAAAACATAATTATTGTTATCAAGCTATTAATTTACTATATAATGAAAAAAATACTATCAAATGAAAATGTAAGAATGGATACAAATCAGTAACACAGTGATTTCTTCGATATCTGAGTAATCTAATAGGGTCAATATTATAAATGAATAAATCTCTTTAAACTTAACATTTATGAGTTTCTTGATTCTTCAATAAAAGATTTTTCAGCTCTTAAACTTTAATAAATCTTGAAACAGATTTATTATTCTTCACATGGATGAAGGAAGGATTCTTTCACTCAGTATTTTCGTGAGGTTAAAAAACCTGATTTCACCGTCTTTGTTTACCGGGTGAAAAATGTTGAATGCAGCTTTTCAATTAATCGCGTGTAATGCATCGTAGATTTGCGGAGAAATTTTTAAAAATACAATGTCATTATCATATTTTTGGCCTTTGATTGAGAAGAATCATTCATCTCTTCAATAATATTGCTTCTAATAAAAATCTTGTGAGTATGATTTTGTAATAATACTTTACTTTTAAAGTATTCAGCATCATGTTTTTACAGCTTGTATGGTTACATTTTCGAAACTCAGTGTAACGTTTGATTAAATAAGTTAAAACTTACGTTTAACCCTGATATACGGTACACACGGGATTTAGCGACATTATGATCAACAATAAACGCGGTGTTTATGAAAAGCAGTAAATGAGTCATTTTGGTGTTGGCTACAGTTTTCAAAATCGCGGCTAGGATTTTACCAAAACTTATGTGCTATATCGTGATATATTTATGTGCTATATCGTGCCAAGGCTGTACCGTATACTAGGATTTTACCAAAACTTATATTATTTATGTGCTATAGGTATGTGTAAATGAGGACTATGAGATCAGTTGCGGAAAGTGCTGAACAGAGCCGTAGCTAGGACTTCCAACGCCCGGGGACAATTAAAGGTTTCGCGTTCCCACCTATTTTTTAAGAATGGAAAACATTTCATTCTAAAATTTCTTAATGCCAGTTTGGGGTCCCCTGGATGCTGCACCGGGGAACAGATGTTCCCCCTTAGCTACGGCACTGGTGCAGAATCACTCACTGCTTGGCGAGTTTTTAAGAATTGCACATACTCGGTATCCATGTACATATCGACCTATTTTCATTAAAAAAGCGCCAAACAAATAAGTGGGCGATTCTGCACTTTACCTGATTAGTTAAACATTGTTTATTCTACATTACTAGCTATTGTTCTATATTAGAGTTATGGTTATGTGTGATGTACCATTACATATGTGACACTCATGATTTCATTTATGGGAACTACTCTTATATGCGCCCTCAGGTCGTCAAATGCAGCGAAAAATTTCTCACCGAACAGTTTAGGCGAGGAACTCCATGCTGCCACATTACTACCTAAATTTTTTGTCTACATTTCGAACTTTTAGTCTAAAATATCTCGAAAAACGTGGTTTTCGCACATGCAAAAACACGTTTTGAACACACAATTTAAGCTAAAAATCCGAAACAAAAACAAAAATTTAGATAGCAAAAACATAAAGTTTCTAACCAAAAATATTTGACAAGAATCCATGTACACAGTGATATGCTTTAACTTAAAAAAACGTCTATGAATTGCACAATCTAGGCAGCGAAGGAATCTATGAACTACACTGACCTTGCTTTAATAAATTAACATAACAACAATAAATTTCAAGAATACTGCGTAAACAGCATTCTGTTTAATAACTGCACAATCTAGGCATTGCACACTAATCAACAAAATAAACTAAAATAAATTTCAAACAATTAAAAAAAAACAGCAATAGCAACAGAAATTCATACTAAAAAAAACAATGAACATAACATTCTACTAAATAAGAACAAGAATACAGTCAAATACCGAAAATCCTCCGACCTGAAATCCGCGTTGCCTCTCAAAATATACACATTCAGTTTATAGGTTTCGAAAACTGCAACATGGAGTACGAAAATCAAAGAAAAAATACTTACTGGATAATAACATCATATTTACCAAATAAAATGAGTCATAATGGAAATACCAAATTGTTGACATCATGGTAAAAGTTCTTTTCCCTCTAATCTGCATAGAGGTAAAAAAGCAGATGATTCACTTAACTCTTTCTTCAAGTACACGATTCACGTTATTGTACTTTCTGAGCTTCGTTATTTCACGAGATTGTTTAGTGCTGCCTTTTTTTTTTTTAATCCCGATATTTTGTGGATAAATTAAGAATATTTTAAATTACGGCGCTTTTTAATACAATGACAGATGTGAAATGCACTCATGATTTTACTGCTTGCAACATTAAAAAACGTAATCACGTTGCATTGATGGTAATACAAAAAGTGGAAATTCCTAAAAAGATGAAAGGCAGGTGCTACTCCTCAGTTTGTAGCAGAATCATATGGAACTGTGACATGGACCGTGTATGATATATGAAAAAGTGAAGAAAAGCTGTTAAAATTTTACAGCAATACCACAGTTGTAGTGGTCTAACACCGGAATCTGAAACTGGAAATCTTTACGAGGCGAAATCAGCAAACCTCGATGCCGTCTTGTACGAGTGGTTCCGGCAGCGGCCTGAGTGATGGGGTACCAATTTCAAGACTTCTCCTGAGAGAAAAGGGGAAACAGATTCATGCTGATTTAAAAATAGAGGAGCCTAATGTAAATGATATATATGTAATAATAATTTAATGCATATAATAAATTATTATAATAATGTATATAATAATTTAATTATATGTATCTAATACGCCTTATTTATTTTGACTTTTAGCATGAATATTATGATTTACCTTTTCTATCCCAAAATCCCTAAAATCCACACAACCTTTGGTCCCAAGCTTTGTGGATATCTGCACTTCTACTGTATAACAAAATGCACTTACCATCAATGTATGCTTTTTCGAACAGCACAAATTTGTTAAAAGCATCATCTCCTGTTTCACATTTATATAACAGCCAGGCTCACTATCCACAAAATTCATACTATGTTTTACTAATAAATATTCAAAACCTCCTTCTCTTAAATATTTGTAAAATTTCAACCACCCGAAAAAATAGTTTTACCAGGCACGTGACTAAAACTTTGCCAACACATCATATATCACTTAATTATCACATGAACCAACTATAATAAATCCAAGTTTCCACGTAAAAAGGGTTGCCATAGAAACCAACATCGCCCACAAAACCATCAGAGAACAGAACATGCAATCGTGCCAAAAACCAGCGCATAACACATATCGCCTCATTTGGCAACCTTAGGGCGCATATGAGAGTAGAGCCCATTTATGTTACAGTTACGTTGAAATAGTTATGTTTAGCTTGATCTTCGGTTTGTGCGAACCTGCGAGTTTACCAGTTTGGCTGCATTTTCTCATTTAATCTTTTTTCTAATTCTTAGTAGAACTTAAATCATTAATCTGCAGCCCTTATCGGGGTAAAATCCTAACTAAAAGTCGTTAATCCGGACTCGTCGGGACTTCGGCGATTCCGGATTATTGATTTTTCCGGGTTATAGATCATCAGTTTAAATCTGTTAAGATGGCATGCAGAAATTACAAAAATTAAAAATATGAAACCATAATTTATGAAATAAAGAACAATTATGATCTAAAGGGTATCAAAATTTACAAAAAGAAAAAGCTTAATATTTATTTGTTTACTTTATTAAACATTTCTTTCAATGTAAGTTGTTTAAGTTGCTTCGTTTCATGTGATAATACTCTCTCTTTAATTCTATTAAACAGACATAATTTCTTGTTTAGTTTCAAAGTTCCACTGTTCAAGTCCCATAATTGCTGTGTCGAGAAAACCGTCTAATTTGTCAATCGAAATTTTTTCCTTTTCAATAACTGTCACTTTCTTCACTATCGGAAGCGAATTATAATTACGAGGAACTTGATTTAAATCATATCAAAGACGGAGTACATCGAGATGAAATACTGTATTTAGTAAGGAATTATAAGCCAAATAAAATAAAAACATCAGCCCTGAAGATAAGAATAGTGCTGACAGATCAACTTCCAATTCATTGCGCGCCGCGGCGACGCCCCTCCCCCCGTCGCAGAGCAGCGTAAAATTGATGAACATATTTCGGATTTTGAAACATACTTTCGCTTTGCAGATCCTTTACATATTAGTAAATATATATCGGAAATTCTATTTCACATAATCGAAAGTTCAAGCTTACTCTTATAAAATTGCTGTAACAGTCTGCAAAATATTATAAGCCGGATCCAATTCGAAGATTAAGGAACAACGTAATCTGCAACATTAACTGAATTAGATAATTTTAGCTTAGCTTATACCGTTCGTTATACATTAAATTTTCTTACTGCTACTGTTTGCATTGAGAACGGACTGTTTCAACCTAATTAAGATGCAAAAACGAAACGTGATGTTACGTCATCTGGAAAGCTGAATCGTGCTGATAGCTGATTGGTTGCTGTGAGATGATGTCATGCCTACTTCTGGTATAAGTATCTCACGTCGCTCTGGCTCAGCCCTTCTAGTTCCTGCTTTCCTGGCTCTTGGGTGTGCGGTTTCCAGACTACTGTGGGTGGCATCCATATTCTTCATGAAGGTGGCATTTAAAATAAGTTAGCGGCGATTCCTCGTGTTCAACTACTGTAAGTGGAGTTAGGCCGGATTTAAGTGCTTTCAAGGACTTAATTTAAATTTCAGGTGTTTTCTTGACCATTGATCATGGACTTATTGAATGTGTAGCCAATTTCATTTGAGACCGCATAATTTCTGTTTAGGACATTTTGTTTGTATTGAATGCCAGTATTTTTGGAGAACAGATAAAATATTATTTGATGAATGAAAGTTTGAAAATGATGGTTATATTATATTTTTTCTAAGAGTCTGATATTGTTTAAATTTATTCTTTGTGTTTTTATTTTTTTTTATATTGTTAATAAATTGGTTAAGTTTGAAACCTCTTTATTGTCTTCATTGTTTGCACAATATATAATCTCAGGGAGCTTTTATTGCTACTACTGCTAAATAATTAATTTTATAAATTTTAAATTTTGCTTTAGCATCAGTAAAGGTCTTACGCGCACGCATAAACGCCTATGCACATGCGTCAATGCGATGCATGCGCAGAAAGTTTGTAGCTTTGAAATCCGGATTATAGATCATTCCGGATTATGGGTGTCCGAATTAAAGACTTTTGACTGTATATGGTACAGCCTTCTCGCGTCTGCCCCAACGAGTCGCCAAGAGTCGGTTATCCGAAAAATGCCACAAATGCCTCCCGATTGTCGCCAAATCCCGTGTGTACTGTAGAATAGGATTAAAGGTATAGCAGTTAATGTTTCTATCTGCTATATCGTTTGTCAATATTCCTTAGGAGGTCTGCATTTCGGACCCCGTTTTAAAAGTCCCACAGAAATTCCAAAACTACAATTCAATCCTCATAAACACACCCATGAACAAAAGACTCGTAAATAACTACAACATCGTACCTTTTTAATA